CTCTATGCCGACGACACCGTATTTTAGAGTGGGCGAATCGGAGGCTAATCAAATTAATTTGTCAAAGACACAGGCTATCTATTTCACAAAAAAGCGCCGTGGTGCCCCGTCAGAGATTACTGGGGATGATGATCCGATACCATGAGCTAACAAAGCCAAATATTTAGATCTTACACTCGACAAGGGTATGACTTGGAAGTCACACATTGAACAAATGAAAATTAAATTCCAAATTACATTTCGGCAATTGTATCCTCTTTTACGAGTATACAGGGTGTCCCCGAAGTCGACGTCAAGCCGAAACTGGGTGATAGGCAAAGTCATAACAGCTATCAGAAAAATATTTAAAAAAATTTTATGTATGTGTTTTGAAAATTATAGGTCTTTGAAAAAGATATAGAAATTTCACACCCTACGGCAGTCTGTCAACTCCTGTTACTACAAATATTAACTTTTTTTGAATTTCATTTTTACAATGTAATGATGAATAATGCATCGTCAAACTGGTGTCTCAACCTTACTGCCAACTTTTCTCGTTCAGAAAAAATTGCCACTTATTTCCCAACCAAGTATTCCAAAGTAAAACTTTGCTCAACTTTAACTGGCTGTACTGCAAAAAAATGTACTACGAGAGTTTGGCAAGTAACCTTAAAAGTTGGAGCATTTGATAACGATTCCAAAATGGTATAACACTTAGAAGATTACTCGTTAACTTATGCACAATTTTTATTTGAAAAAAAACTGATGAATATTTTTCAAAATTTCCTAATTAAACAGCGATTATGAAAACGCACAAGGACCCTTAAGGATAACTGTTTGCACAACAGTGGGCGTCAAAATGCTGCTGATGATGATTTACCTTTACAGCAAATGCTCAAAGTGTTTTCCTTCAGCCGCAATACACGCTCGACATCTTCTTAAAAAAGATCGGGTTATTAAACGAGCGAATCCACGGTTATTAACAAACTCAGCTGCTTCCAATAGTCTTTGCCGTAGCTCAGCTACATTTTGAATCGGCTTGAAATACACTTTTTCTTTTACAGTTTCCCAGTAAAAAAAATCTAACGGATTCAAATCTGGTGACCGGGCTGGCCACAGTATTGTACCAGACCGCCCTATCCATCTGCCTGGAAAGTTTTGATCGAGATACTCTCTCACTGAGAGTGCATAGTGCGCGCTGGGCAGCCATGTTGCTGAAACCACATGTCCCTGTAAATACTCAGTGGCACGTCCTCCAATAAATTTTCTAAATGATTTTGCAAAAAACCTAAATAAACCTCAGCAGTCAAAGTCTCTGGGAACTCAAACGGACCGATTATTTTACCATTTAAAATTCCTGTCCAATGGTTTATCTTGAAGCGATATTGAGATTTATCTTCTCTCATCAAATGTGGGTTTGCTACGTGCCACTCGTGTAAGTTATGCAGGTTCATGTACCCATCTTTCTTAAATGTGGTCTCATCTGACCATAAAATTTTTTCAAAGAACCGTGGATCTTCCCTGTGTCTTTCTAACATTGTGCGACAAAAAGCAACTCGGGGCTCATAATCCCGGGGCAGAAGAGCTTGAACACGCTGTACGTGGTATGGATGGAGCACGTTTTTTTGCAAGATTCTATGGGCTGTACTTTTGGGCACACCTGTTTTTAGTTCTATTGCACCCATTGAAGTACTCGGGTCTTCTTCGACAGCTCCTAGCACCAGTCTTCGTAATGAAGGAAAGATCTTCCCTCACCGTGTGATTGGTTTGGTAGTTGGCCCTCTGAGAACAGTAAGCGGTGCACATTTGTGAACACTCGATGATCTAGATGACGAGCTGCATTCGGGTACCTCTCACAGTAAAGTTTCGCTGCAGCACTAGCATTGCATCTGCATTCCCCATAAATGAGGTGCATGTTAGCATATTCTTGTACGGTGTACACGGACATAGCGGCACTGCACAATCACACTATCAAAGATAGTCTAAGGAAAGCAAATGTTGTTTTGAAGAGCAACTAAACAGTCCAAATCCAAATCACAGGCGATCAACAGTCCAGTTCACGAGTCCAAAATTAGTAACAGTACGAAATCAACAAGCACGAACATGTAAAGATGCGCAGTAAACGAAGGAGTACTGATCGGTATCAAAGTGTGCAATAGCAAGTAAGTGATGTGCTTCATCCATACCACATACAGCGTGTTCAACCTCTCCTACCCCGGGATTATGAGCCCCGAGTTGCTTTTTGTCGCACAATGTTAGAAAGACACAGGAAAGATCCACAGTTCTTTGAAAAAATTTTATGGGTGGATGAGACCACATTTAAGAAAGATGGGTACATGAACCTGCATAACTTACACGAGTGGCACGTAGCCAACCCACATTTGATGAGAGAAGATAAATCTCAATATCGCTTCAAGATAAACCATTGGACAGGAATTTTAAATGGTAAAATAATCGGTCCGTTTAAGTTCCCAGAGACTTTGACTGCTGAAATTTATTTGGATTTTTTAAAAAATCATGTACAAAATTTATTGGTGGACGTACCACTGAGTATTTACAGGGACATGTGGTTTCAGCAACATGGCTGCCCAGCGCGCACTATGCACTCTCAGTGAGAGAGTATCTCGATCAAAACTTTCCAGGCAGATGGATAAGGCGGTCTGGTACAATACTGTGGCCATCCCGATCACCTGATTTGAATCCTTTAGATTTTTTTACTGGGAAACTGTAAAAAAAGTGTATTTCAAGCCGATTCAAAATGTAGCTGAGCTACGGCAAAGACTATTGGGAGCAGGCGAGTTTGTTAATAACCGTGGATTCGCTCGTTTAATAACCCGATCTTTTTTAAGAAGATGTCGAGCGTGTATTGCGGCTGAAGGAAAGCATTTGCTGTAAAGGTAAATCATCATCAGCAGCATTTTGACGAACACTGTTGTGCAAACAGTTATCCTTAAGGGTCCTTGTGCGTTTTCATAATCGCTGTTCAATTAGGAAATTTTGAAAAATTTTTATCAGTTTTTTTTCAAATAAAAATTGTGCATAAGTTAACGAGTAATCTTCTAAGTGTTATACCATTTTGGAATCCTTATTAAATGCGCCAACTTTTAAGGTTACTTGCCAAACTCTCGTAGTACATTTTTTTCCAGTACAGCCAGTTAAAGTTGAGCAAAGTTTTACTTTGGAATACTTGGTTGGGAAATAAGTGGCAATTTTTCCTGAACGAGAAAAGTTGGCAGTAAGGTTGAGAGACCAGTTTGAAGATGCATTATTCATCATTATATTGTAAAAATAAAATCCAAAAAAAGTTAATATTTGTAGTAACAGGAGTTGACAGACTGCCGTAGGGTGTGAAATTTCTATATTTTTTTCAAAGACCTATAATTTTCAAAACACAGACATAAAATTTTTTTAAATATTTTTCTGATAGCTGTTATGACTTTGCCTATCACCCGGTTTCGGCTTGACGTCGACTTCTGGGACACCCTGTATAGAACATAAAAATTGAGTTTGGTCAATAAGATTCGGATATACAATACCGTCATCAGACCTGCAATAACCTGCGCATGTGCGGCGAGGTGCTTTTTTAGCTGAGTCACATATGGGTAAATTACAAGTTCTGCAGAGTAGAACTCTCAGAACAATACCGATGCCCCATAGAGATCTTGACATCCCCTACCTTAGGGATTACATCGTAGTTATGGCACAACGGCGCTGCCAGCAAGCGGAATCGCACAGCAACCCTTTGTTGCGTGAAGCAGTGGATTACACAGTCGAGGAGATACGCAAACATTCCACACCGCGACTCGCACTGTGAACAAAATTAAATTCATGTTCAGACCTTTAAAAATTATAGTTTTTGAAAACCAAAGACCCAAAATTCAGTTCAGGACAATTCAAAAATTTATATAGTACAATGTAACAGTTCTTAGATCCTTCATATATGTACATAAAACAATTCATTTTATTTCTCTTCTCGCTCCTAGTTCCTTCATTTCTTTCTCCCTCTCCCTTTTTCAGTTTTTCTGGTTTCTGGGATACTAGAGCTGACAGATTGACGAGATACACTGTCATTACAGTAACTTTGACCTAAAGGCTAAAGTCCTCCGGATTGCCTTGAGAAGCAATGGCAAGTAGTATCATACATAGTGTTGTTAAGCCTTAAGATTTGACGTTATAATTTAGCAGTTTTACTGAAGGTCCAGGTAAAGGATAACACTTGGTAGTTAAACGGTTAGATATTGGATAAACAGAAATGGTTAAACTAAACCAGAGTTCCCCAAACTTTTTTGTGTCGTAGACCCCTTGCCATGTCTTTCCGTCTTGGGTAGACCCCCTACTTACCTGATATTGATTTCCTGTAAATTTCTAACTGTATAGAAGTTTAGTGTTAAAAACTTAAAGTAAAAACACATGTTAATTTATACATTTATTAATTGAATTCAAATTAAAACTACTCAAAATAAAATTTTGTATCTGTTATGTAAAATATACGTAACATTAAGTAAACAGGTGTCTGACCAATAAGTGCCCGCGTTGGGAATAAGTGCCCGCATTGAAAAAAAATAAGAGGGACAAAATAAAAAAAAAGTGAAAAATAATAAAAAAAAGTTTTTTACTTAAAATAGTACAATAAGCTAGTTCGTTTATTAATTATAACATAAACGTATGTTCTACAATAATTTCACTGTTAGTCTGATTAAATTCCGCTTTAAGTTTAAGTTATCTAAAAATAGGCAAAAAATTAACGAATTTTAGTGTGTACCTATCCTTGAATTTTCAGAATAATTTAAAAAAAAATATTTTCTGTAAAGGGGGGTTCTTTAAAAAAATCAATGCGGGCACTTATTCCCAATGCGGGCATTTATTGAGGTCAGACACCAATAAACATAAAATAAACTATAAATAAAATAACATAAGCAATAAGTCAATATTTTTAGTGAGAAGGATGAACCTGATGCTTTAATAGTAAACTATCAACATTTGGCGTCAATTTTGTAAGGGTTAATCTTAAATCTCCTCGGCTAATGATGTTCAGTCTGTTTCTTTTTTTCGTTAGGAGATTGGTAACAGCGCTGAACCCCCTTTCCACTAGGTATGACGATGACGAAAAATTTCATCGCTATATTCCTTAATACGGGATAAGTAACGGGTATGTTGTTTTGCAGCCAGCATTGCTGATATCCGTTTTTAAACTGAACCTTAAGTTCTCCGTTTGTACTTAGTTCAGTCAGTTCCTCTTGTATTATGACATTCGTTTCTTCTATGTCACCATATGGATTAGTTATCCACGGTGGTATTACCATAGTCAAAACATCCTCAAACCTAGATTCAAAATCTGAATAGAGGGCAATTTAAATGTTGAACGTAAGTTGAAACGTCGTCTTCCTGGCAGCTTGTCTGTGACAAATTGGGGAACTGAGAAAATTCGCCCCGTCCAATATTTTGCTTCATTAGTTTAACTCTGGCAAGAAACGCTGACAAGGGACTTTGTTTTAATCATATTTAAACTGTCGCCTTGTAATTGCAAATTAACCATATTAAGCTTTGTAAAAAAATCTGTTAAATAGGCGATGTCTGTTTTCCTCTTCATTAAATTTTCTTTTAAAATTTTATCTTTAGTATCCAGAAATTCTAAAATAGTCTCAAAAAGTGCAAAAAATCTTGTCAAACATAAGCCTTTCGACAGCCAGCGTACTTCAGTGTGAAGGAGTAATTGATGGAAGTGTTCGTCATTTTCTTCACACAACTGCGCAAATAACCGCGTATTCAACGCGTTGCTTCGGATTCGGTTTACTGCATCAATGACTAAATGAAGTGATTCATGAAATCTAACACTCAAATTTTTAGCAACTAAATGTTGTCGATGCGACATTGCGTCATCGTATTGCTAACACCCCTGACACATTTTGTTTTAAATAGCTTATAAATCCACGATATCGTCCAACCATGGCAGGTGCTCCATCTGTAGCTACTGATATTATATTTGATAAAGGAATTGCTTTTTCAATGAAGTAATCCTTCAAAACATGAAATATTGATTCACCTTTAGTGTCGGTTATCAAAGTTCTTGCGAAGAGCAGTTCTTCGTAGATTTCTTGATTCATAATAAAACGAACATATGCCAATAATAATGCTGCATTATCAGGTAAAGTTGACTCGTCCAGTTGTATAGAGAAATGGGTCGTTTGCAAATAATTACGTAAGAAGCTTTCAATATCAGAACTCATTTCATCAATACGTCTTTCAACAGTATGTTGCTTAAAGGAATTCTTTTAATGATCAGATGCAGGTTTGTGTAAAACAGTTTTTAAAACCTCTTCAACGGCTGGCAAAATTAACTTCTCTCCGATAGTATGCGGTTTTCCGGATTTTGCTATAAGTAACGAGACATTGTAAGACGCCCGCAAACCATCATCATTTCTTTGTGACGTCGAATCGAACATTCTGTCCAGTATAGGTCTCTTCTGAAATTTATCTTTGAGTGTTTGAAAGTATTTCAAATCTTTCTCTGTTTTATCAGGGTGGCATCTTCTCAGATGATCTTGCAGTTTAGATGGTTTCATAGCGTCATTGCCCAAAACTTTGTTGCATAAAAGGCACATAGGCGTTTGTTTGTCCGGCAATGATGGAATGAAGCCAAATATCAAATAATCAACACTTTACTGTCTACATTTCTTTTTAGATTCGGCCATGGCATCAGTCATCTGTAGGCAAAATTAAATTATTTAAATAAGACAGAAAATCCAGCAGCTGTATATTAAAAATATTTTTTTATTTTTCCGAAAACATTCCATAATTCGAACATCTTCTTGCAACAATTAGCTCGAATTGCGGAGATTGCACTGTAATTATATTACCGATTGCTAAAACTTTCAAAAAGTAATTATATTACCGATTGCTAAAACTTTCAAAAGGAAACTATTGAGGAGTACTCGTGTAATTTTGCATGATTGAATATTTAACTACTAATAACTAAAGTCATGATTGGCGTAATTTATCTATCTTTGCTAACTACGAGTACAAAACTAAAATTTAATAAAAAATAATGTACTTACTTTTCTCCAGCACAATCAAACAAAATAACACTGACTCACTATAATTTGTGTGATATACTATCTGTTTATATTTTTTAAAATATTTTCTTAGCACTTTCCTTTTCAAGATTCAGGAAACGAATAAACGTATTTGTCCCACATTCGTATTCATAGAGTGACGAATTGAACAAGTCAGTGCAAGGTAGCGAAGCTTTGAGACTGCAGGCTTTTACAAGTTCAAAATGTATTGCGACCACAAAGCGAATAGCAACATCCTACAACTTACACAATTTTATAAACATATACGTATATAATACATTTTTGACTTCATATGTACTTTTATAAATAATGTATATGTTTTGATATTATAAGATAGTATGATGTAAGTAAATAGGTACTATCAGTGTATGTGTTGAGATCCACTATCGTGAACCCCCATATTCATTTCATGGACCCCCAAGTTTTTTTTCGCTGACGTAGACTCCTTGCAGGTTGTCATAGACCCCTAGGGGTCGATATAGACCACTTTGGGAATCAATGAACTAGACCAAGTCCCACAAAAGTTGCTCCTATAAACGCCTCACCACGATGAAGCTTTGAAAATACCTTCAAAATAGTGGAAGCTGATTGTAAGTCAAAGATAGTCGTAAACTTCATAAAAAAACCGTTTATTGCAACTAACAACACGATATATTCGGAATATATCCATGCAAAATAAACACGGACGACTTTTTGTAGCAGCGCTTTCCAAAACACCTATTGACTTTGAAAATTTATTTAATGAGGTAAAAAAACAATATTTCAGCCGGTCGTATTGGTTAAAGATAATTTATTATGTTCGACACGAGCGAGAGGGGCGACGGTGGATAGCGCGAGAGCGAGAGAGACGCAGATCAGCTGGAATGCCAATGATTCATGAACGATGAAAGCGGGGACAGTGGTGGAGGAACCGACTTTTAGACCCATCTAGTAGGCTGTGAGTCGTTCGTTCGCAGCCGTTCATTCGAACGATACGATTACCGACCGGCCTCGAAGCTGACAAGAGTATTGTGTTGCCTATAGTAACGACTCACTGGGTCAGAGAAGGTACATCATACTATGAAAGTGAAGCGAAGGGTTAGGCGTTGCCGATGTTATTTATTGTACTTGAGTATTAATATTTTTGGTTGAAATAAAAGGTAACGAATGTATACTGTTACCACGTTGTCAGTTCGCAGTTCAGTTGCTGCATATTGCAGACACGCTTGGCACAATTGAACGAGTCATAAGTAACAAAAGAGTCGTTCAATCATCGCTCACTTAGATGAGTCGTTCATTTTGAACGATTCGTTCGCGAACGACACATGACTACTTTTATAAACTGTGAAAAAAGGATCAGGGCCTGTTGAATACGCTATGTGACACGTTTTTTAGTAGGTGTCAAACTGTTTCTATTTGGTTATATAAAATCATCCAGGTGTCTTCGTCCCGTCGCCGTCCCAAAAGGGTTCCATGACTCTCTTTTTACCTGTTTTTTCCTTGAAAATAAACAAAACACACACAAGGTGTAAACAGCCCAATTTCACCAACATTAATATTATGGACCAATGGGAAACTACCTTATCGAAATGCAATTTGACAGAAGCTGTCAAAGGTCTCTGATTATTAGTGATTTCTATTGAAATATTGAATAAAATCGTGAAAATTCGACTGTATTATAAACAAGACCACTTTTTGATTCCAACATGATGCTTTTGTACAGAAAAAACAGGACAACTTTCAGGTATTTTGATATATGTTATAGGTTTACATTTAACAATCCGTTGTCCCCCCAGCGAATGGGAATGCGGCAAATAATGCGTCGATTTTCTAGCTGTTAAATTTGGCAGCAGATTTGGACGTTTCTTAATGCATGGCACTCTCGAATTTACCAACTTCAATATACTTAAAGTTATCATTACATACCTGTTGAATAGTGTGGATTTGTCTATATTTTGCAAGAAAATAGAATATAAAATACATTCCATCCAATTCCTCATCTTCCTTTACGTGATAATAGTAATCATTTATTAATTTATGGGTTAATGACTTTCTTCAAAGCAATAAAAACATTATGTCCTCTCCATCCTAAAACACAGATAATATGTGTAAGACGTGTCAATCCCTACATCTCCCTGATGCATAATGCAATTACTATGGACATAGACAAAAAATTATGGAAAATGTTTCACAAATAATGTATTTTAAGTCCAAAAATCATAAAAACTAGTGATGTTTATTGTTTGTCTTTTTGACTGGCGGGGATATCTATCTGTCACTCGCAGGGTTGCCAAGTCTAACGACGATCACGTCGCGTGGTGGAGGGTGCGAAATGAATCTTTTACATTTGCTGGTTTTGAATTTTTTTCGTGAAAATTTACTAGGTATCATGATTATAAGCATCTTGGGTAGATTGTTCGATCCGGAATGGGAATGAAAATTATGCCTCATGAAAAACGCTTTGACCAATGTTTGCATATTCCACAACACGGGATATCCAGACGATGTGCCTTTTGTAGCACTAGTAAGGATCGTCACAGAACCAGTTGGGAATGTGTGACTTGTAAGGTTGGATTGTGCCTTACGGAAAAAACTGTTTTTCGTTGTATCATAAAAAGTAACCTAAGTTTTATAATGTCATTTAGGTATCATCTAACCGTTGCAATCAGTGCACAAACACTGTGACATATGATTTCTAGCATAACCCGCTGCCCTATCAATACAAATTTAACATACAGGTCGCCTAGCCGTGGAGATGCAGTGGTCGGGATGAATATCATGGTAGCAACTGATGATTTGGGCATGTCTGGTAACAACGTATGAAGTGAAGCTCGCGAACTTCACAAATTTGAAGATTTTGTACAATTTCTTTGAAAATGATGAAAGATATGTCTGATTTGGCAGGGTAATGCCTCAGCCAAATGGCAGTCACTCTTCCTGACACAGTCCGGATAGAAAGATGACGAGACTCGTATTGATACTTCTAAATATAGGATCGTATCGAACATCCCTACTGTCAAGATGTATAACCCAAGGTACCGACGGAGCCACTTTGGGACGTCATGGAAATAGTTTTAAATTTTCATTTGCATTTTTTCAAGTGTTGTGCAATGATTTTGGGAAAAATGTCACGAATAGCCTTATAAAGCATAGTATAGTATATTTCAACAGTTGGCGGAACTTACTCCACTGGGACCAGGATGGTGAAACCGGATATTAATGCACAATCTGGCAACCCTGTCACACCCTCACAAAATGGCAGCTGACAACGACACAAGTCACCGTGTTATCATTTAGCATGGCATTAGACTTTCAGAGTATATGTTTTGTGACTGGTACCAAGAGTTGACAGATCTCACACATGTCTCACTCCTTGAAATGCAATAATCAGCTGTATTCAAATAATGTCTAATATAAATATAACCTAGAATGTGTACTAGTGAAAAAAGAAAAACATGGCAAATTTATAGTTTTTTTTGCAGGTTTTTGGTTTGCTGGTAGCTTTAAGGCATATATTTGGGAATTTCTTAATTGCTGTGAATATAGTGTGGATGTTTGTTCAGTTCCTGAACAACGAAAATTATTCAACTTTATGGATGTATGGATATCATAAAACCTGAATGGTTTTGTGGGAATATCAATCTAAGGTGCCATAATGGTTCTGATGAACGGCAAGTAAATGAATGAATGTTTCGAAACGAGCAATATCTTTTGGTAGAGCCTGTCATCAAATAAATTTTGATTGAATTATATGTAATTTCTTAATATTCAATAAGCTGGTGATGTTTCAATGACAAGCTGTTATCTCATACTTTGACAGTATTTTGTTTTCAACATTTCATAGCTATTGGTTGCTAAAATTTGTTGATTGGAACTTGAAGCCCATTCGTTGTATTTGACGATCTGTTATCCTATAGGTGGAGAATAACGGACTGTTGTTTGTGCAATTGGCCCTTAAAAAATAAATACTATATTTTTTCAGAACTAAAAGACCGCAAAACATTAATTAAAAAATATGTTTTTCTTAAACACGTGAAAATGCTGTCCGCAATGTTTGGCCTGACGCCATACCATTGGTAAACAGCAGTTGACAGCAGCATAGCCTCTCAAACTCTCAAACATTCTTCTACTAGTTTACACGAAAAATGTACTACTATTTACATATTACTGATTATCGTTATCGTCCTAGAATGTAAAAACACCGATGAAGATCCCAGGAAAGCTGTGAATTTCTGCTTTCACGAATCCAACGTCCATGATTGTTTTTTCAATAAATCGAAAAAACTTCTTACATTGATTAGGACATACGGATGACGTTTCGTTGTTTACAATTTATATGATGTCACATCTTGGCCGATAGTGTTTTCACCGTTTCGTATTAAAAATAAAAAATATATTTTTTTAAATTGGACTTATATATCCGTCTTGCTCTTTTAAAAAATAGAAATCGATGTATTTCGTTTTGCTATGGCAAACAATGTAAGAAATACTCATTTAATCTATGAAATTAG